TCAGCGGCCACTGCACTCCAGTCTGGGCGACAGAGTGAGACTCCAACTCAAAAAAAAAAAAAAAGATTTGTAGTATTTGTGACTAAGATGCCTCCTGGAAGGAGGACGCTGGTCTTCTTTCCTAGTAAGTCACTTCACTCTCCTGCCAACAGGAGCTGCTGCCACGCCTCAGTCCTCTTACCAGCCTTCCGTGTTCGGTGTCATTTAAAAATGATTGGAAAACTAGCTCATTGTTTTCATTTCTGCTTTTTGTGTTACAAGAGTTATCAGGTATTTCTGTAGTCCATATATGGGTCATTGTAATATTTTTTTATGAATTGCCTTTCAGTGTTTCCTAAAATTTGTTTTAACATTCCCTCCTCTTTTTTTTGGAAGTTGTACTCTCACTCTGTCGCCCAGGCTGGGAAGCAGTGGCACACTCCTGGCCACCGTAGCTTCAACCTGCTGGGCTCAGGTGATCCTTCCACCTCAGCCTTCCAAGTTGCTGGAACTACAGGCACGTGCCACCATGCCTGGCTAATTTTTTGATTTATTGTAGAGATGAGGTCTCACCCAGTTGTCCTGGCTGGGCTTGAACTCATGAACTCAGGCAGTCCTCTCACCTCGGCCTCCCAAAGTGTTAGGATTATAGATGTGAGCCACTGCACCCAGCCTCACTTGTTTTTCATCAGATACGTTCATGATTTTGTCGTTGTCCTCAGTTGTGTAGCTCATGAATTCATTCAATGCAATATTTATTAATACCTATTAATGTGTCAGTTACTGAGCCTAGAACGGTAAGACCTGAGACAGTGCCTGCATTATCTAATACTTTCTTATAGATACTAATTTCTGTATTTCTGAACTGCGATTTGTTCCATTGAATGGTTGAATGCCAGGAGTTTACTTACCTGTGTAAGAAACTGTCAGACCGTTTACCAGTGTGCTTGGACCATTTTGTATTCCCACTGGCAGTACCTGAGTGTCCCTGTTGCTTCACGTCTCATCATTTGGCGTGGTTAGTCTTTTAAATTTTGGACATTCTCCTGGCAGATGGTGATGTCCTATTGTGGATTTAACTTGTACTTTCCTTGTTACCACTCTGTTGAGCATCTTTTCGTGTGTTTATTCTCATCTGTGGGTCTCTGGTGTAGTGACTTTTCAACTTTTGCCCATTTTTAATGTGGGTTATTTACATTATTTTGAGTTTTGATGGTTTTATATATATTCTGGATACAGATTTGTTACCAGATACATGATTTACACATATTTCCTGCCATTTTGCCTAGTCAGTATCTTAACAGTTATTTTTCAAATAGCAGAAATGCTCAGTTTATCAAGAGTCCTTTTATGGATTGTGCATTTAGTATCACTTTCTGATTTTTTTTCTAGCTCAAGGTCACAAAGATTTTCTCTGGCTTTCCTTTGGAAGTTTTGTCATTCACTTTTACAGTTAGGTCTATCTTCCCGGTCAAGTTGATCTTGACGTTGTGTGAGATGAAGGTCAAGGGTTTTGACTGGCTTGATCTGTGGCCGTGCACTTGTTGCATCGCCACTTGCTGGTAAGGTTGCATTTCCTCCCTCAGTCACCTTTGCACCTTTTTAGAAAAATCATTTGACCATAATGTGTGGGTCTGTGTTCTGTTAATTTATTTGTCTGTATTTATGTCAGTACTACGCTCCCTGGACCCAGGATCAGGTAGTGTGAATCTTCCAACTTTGTTCTTCTTTTTCAAAATATATCTTGGCTGTTGTTGATCTTATGCATTTTCAAGCGAATTTTAGAATCAGCTTGTCAATTAGGGGGGAAAAATGCCTACTGGGATTTTGGTTTGCAGTGCAGTGACTCCAGATCAGTTTGTGGTGACGTAATAATATTGAGCAATCTGATCTCCAAACATAACATATCTCTCTGCTTAATTAATTCTCAGCTGTGTTTTGTAGTTTTCAGTGTATCTTGTATATATTTTGTTACACTTATCCCTAAGTATTTCATATCCCTGAGTGGTATTTTTCTTTAATTTGGTTGTTGCTAATATTAGTGAAATGTCGTTGATTTCTTTGTATATTGCTTTCGTATCCTGAAACCTCACTGAAATCACTAGGAGACTTCAGGTGTCTTTTTTCATTTGGCCACTGATATTTTAGATGACAGTAAGTTCCTTAATTAACTCTTATGTTGCCTGTTATAGACCTGAAACCTAGTGTTGTGAAGTATTGAAATCCCCCCCCAAAGCTGAGTAACATTGCTTTGTTTCTAAGGTAATGTGTATTTCCTTCTTACTTCACCTTGAACAGACGTCTTGCTTACATGTATATCCTTCTTAATTGGTTTGCAGACTTTTTATGGAAATTCTCAATGACTGTTCTGATGTGGATGAGATCAAATTCCAAGAAGATGGTTCCTGGTGTCCCATGAGACCGAAGAAAGAAGCTATGAAAGTGCCCAGCCAGCCGTGTCCGAAAATAGAGAGTATGTGCAGAATGAAGCCACGAGCAGAGCCGGGGGCCTCGGGCATCATTGTGTGTGTCGCTATCCTGGCCCCATGGGCCTCGGGCAGTGTTGTGAGTGCCACTGTCTTGGCCACATGGGCCTCAGGCTGCATCGTATATGTCACTGTCTTGGCCAGGTGGGCCTTGGGCAGCATTGTGTCACTCTCTTGGCCATGTCGGCCTTGGGCAGAGTTGTGTGTGTCACTAGTCTTGGCCACGTGGGCCTCGAGCAGCCTTGTGTGTATCCACTAGTCTTGGCCACTAGAACTGCAAGTTTGCTGACTTCATTTTTTGATTCTATGTAATTTCCCCCCAAATGATTTTTATTCTTTGCTGGAGAAATGTGTGAAGCTTATGCCATCTTATCAAAGCCTTTTCGTAGTATATTTTTTATATGTAAAATAAATGAAAGTCATCCAAAATCATTTTAATGATGTGTGTTGCAAAATGAAAAGTTACAGATGACATTTGTCTGACAGCTTTTCAGAAGTGTTTTTAGCGTGTCTCTAGTGGAACCCCTGGTGGAGATGTGGGTAGAAGTTACATCACTGATGAATGGATGTTGGGGAGTGGTCACGGGCTGGCTGCTCAGAAGGGGACACGTTGTCTCCTCCCATTTCTCTGTGGGAAGGAACTTCCCATTGCTTCGGTCACCCGGGGTGTGTACTCACCCCTCAGCTCCCTACATCTGGGTCCTGAATGGGGGAGCTGAGGGTATTTGCCTTTTGGGTAACTGAAACCCTTCCGTGAAGTTTCTTTTTAATTTAACACAGTCTGCTCACTGCATTTGAGCTTCGTTCTGACTATATTTGAAGTTCTAACAAACATATAATAAAAGATTTTCAGAAGAAGAAGAGAGGAAAAGTCCAGGGACTGATGCTGGAGTTGATTATCCCGTGATTGGTGCTGCACCTGAGAGTGTAGTGACCTTGTGTTGGAGGGAAACCAGGACTGACTTGGTTGATCAGTTGCTGTTCATTGTTGACTTACTGGATTACAAGGACTAATACACTTTGCTCTGAAAATATGAGTTAACAAATATGATATATGAGACTATCTTAGTGGGCAAGAAGAACTGGGTGATTAGTAGACAGTTAGCAAAGTCTTTCAATGTCTGGATCACTTACATGAGAAGTTGGGGTTTCTTCAGCCCGCAAGGATGAATGTTTTTGCACGTTCTGGCTTATGGCGAGGAGCCTGTACTTGCCCTGATGGGAGTGTGATTGCTGGCATGGGCGTGTCTGATGCCAGTGTATCTGTGCCATGTGTTTGTGAGAGTGCACAGCTGGTGGAAGTGTGTACTTACCTCCCAAGGGCTGATATTCACACCCAGCTTCAGGCGTCTAGGAAGTGATTGCTGGTCTGGGAAGACCGGGTGAGCAGAAAGGTCTGCATCCATCTGTGGTCCTGGAGGGGTTGCTCGGGGAGTCTGCTGTTAGAGACTTTGACCTTCCATCAGGGACAGAGCTCGCCTCTCCTGTGCAAATGGGCATTTCACAGACACAGGTCTGGAGTTGGGGACAGTCTCTGCCCTTGGAACAGGTGTGTGGCTTCACTGGCTATGCACTGCCATGGAAGTACAGCACACTTCAGACTCTGTGGCTAGAATTTGTGTTAGACCTTCGATTTTTTTTTTCCCCTTCTGTTTCCCTGCCTGCAGGTTCAAGTGTCCTCACCAAGCCTTGCTCAGTGACTGTAGCCAGTGAGGCCAGCAAGAAGAAAGTGGATGTCATTGACCTAACGATAGAAAGCTCTTCTGATGAAGAGGAAGACCCTCCTGCCAAAAGGAAATGCGTCTTTATGTCAGAAACACAGAGCAGCCCAACCAAAGGGTTTGTTGATTTATAGTTCGCTATTGCCCATCACACTTGAACTCAGTATTCTAGGGATGGTAGGCCTGTGAGTGTCTTTTGGAGAAGTTGCATAACTATAGAAGGCTAGTTTAACTTGCCTTTGTCCAGCTGAAATATTTCAACTAAGTACGTTGTTGACAGAAAAGCTAATTTTGATGAGTAAAATATTTACGTCTTTAGAAAGAGTGTGAGGTACTTCATACTGGGTGTTTTTGTTATGTTCTTGAGCCTATTCGCTAATTGCTAATCTTAGACCTACATGGTGCAGGCTGGTGTGATGGGTGTGGCCTGGGCGCCTGACATGTGTGCATTCCCATGTGGCAATGTTGCTTGCTTGTCTGTGAGCTTGACTGGAGTACGGCACTGGGTCTTGCTGTAGCCTTCTCTTCTGCTCTGTAAAATGGGGTTAAGCGATGCCCGTCTTGCAGTGCTGTTGTCAGGTTTCAGTCAGCCAATGGAAACAACTAGCCACAGTCTCAGGCACTTGGTAATTTTTCAGTAAAATGGATCCTCTCCCTTCTCAGCCTCTCCAGGGCAAGTTACAGGCAAGCAGGCTGGTGAACAGCCTACATGCTAGCACGGATTCTTTGTGATCCATCTGGCAGAGCCATTACTGACCTCTAGTAAAAGTCAGACCCGAATTTTTAGCAGCAGGCAGCCCGGCCCCTGCGAGGAAGCAATGAGGTCCCTGACAGCCCCTGACACCTTTCCTTATGCGAAGGTACTGGTCCGTCTCTGGCCCTCAGCCCACACAGTTTTGGAATGGCTTTATTGAGGAATAATTGATACAGCATAGCATTTGTCCATCTGAAGTATTTAACAGCACAGTTCACTCTGAATCCATAGAGTTGTTTAGTTATCACCACAACTCAGGAATAGACGATTTCTAAGACCTAGAAAACTTCCTGCTTGCTCGCTTACAGTTTATTCCCATTGACACCCCAAATCCAGGCAGCCTTTGATCTTCTCTTTATCTCTAAATTTGCCTGTTGTAGACGTTTTATATAAAGAGAATTATGCTCTCAGTCTACTTTTGCTACATTCTTTTTTATATAGTTTTTATAGTTATTTTTAAGAATTAAGCCTTTTGAGTTGTCCTATTCAATGCTAAAATACTTTTATTTCCAGATTTTCACATGTAGTAAGGACTTAAGTTTTCTTTTATCTGTTTAATTAGAATGAGGTTTTTTCTTTCTTTCTTTTTGAGTAGAACCGAATATGTGGAAAGTATTTTAAGTGAGTCCTTTCTCTGGTATGCTAATTATTATTCCTTTGAGACAATTTGGTACTTGTGTGACTTCAATGAACAGAAACTGAAGATCCGCTTTTGAAATGTCCCCTGGGGTGGAGATTGGGGATGAATCTTAGATGCGTGTTTCCAGAATTTCCTCTCTGAAGATGTTTTCTAGCATACACTGGAGAAACATGGATTGCGTGTAGTGCAGTTAGTTGGATTCATGCCCGCTTGAAAGATCATGTGTAGTGGTGCTGACTGGTGACTTGGTGTCATCTTGAGCGTGTCTCTAGTGGCATGCCGCAGGGGTCTACCCTCTGTCCTTCACCACATGTTATCAATACTTGGTGAGATGAAACTGGAAGGAACAGGCAGTGATTGACAAAATGTGAAGTGGCTCTGGTAGGCAGCGAGCAGCGTGAGGGTAGTCTCCACCTGTGGACAGCTACAGAGAGGTCAGTGTCAGGGCTCCTAATCTGGGTTGAAAAGAAAGAGCCTGTGCTGTTGAGCATGCGGTAGAAGGTTGTGGCTAAACCGGCAGCTCATGAAAGACTTTGATCTCAAAAGTCTGTAAGTTGCAGCTACCTGCCACATTCCACAAAGTCAGTACGGCCCTTAACACCCAAGCTAGGTATTCACAGTGGCTCCCACGTGAAAGACCCTCACGAACAGGCTCACATGGAAAGATGCATGAAGATTCTGTAATCAGTCTTAGGAAACTTCAGCTGTACATGAAGATGACATCCCTGGGACCAGGTTTTTCCTAGGAGTGCTTTAGTGATAAGGAAATACAGTGATAAGTGGGTCTTGTCACAAGGACAACTTAGGTGGTCGTCTTCGTGGGTGCTAGGAAGGCATTTGATGAATTCATTGCTGTTCTCCACGGAAACTCGAAAAGGTCAGAATTCACTGGGCGCTGGGAAGCTGACTTGATCTTAGCGTTGGTAGAAGAGGAAGTGCAGTTCAGGATGCATAGCCTGCAGGTGTCGTTTTGTCTTAGCCGTGAGGCCCTCAGGCTTTTGGTCAGTGTGGTCAGGATTCACAGATCAGTGGGCCGGAGGTGGGACCCGGGAGCGTGGTGAGTGGGGGCTCAGGACCCCCGCTGCTGAGCCTAGGGTTGGGGGAGTGTGTGGCGGCTGCTCTGTGGCTCTTCAGAGGGAGCCATTGGCTAGCTGGAGAAGGCTTGTTCTTTGCTGTTTAACGCTGATCAGATGTCAGTCCTTTGGAGGAAGGAGATGTGGAAAGCCTTCTTGCTGGAGCTTCCCAGGCACTACGGAAGCTGTTTTGTGCTGACCCCTCATTTTCTGTGCTGCAACGAGTGGCCACCGCCTGTCCCGTCTTGCTGTGGAGGCTGCGGCCGTGGCTATGTCGTCTCTAATCTGTCCAGCTCTCAGGCCCTTTGGCCATGTCCCACTCTTCCTGTCCCCTGCCTGTCTTGAGGCTCCACATTTGGGGCTTGGGACTCGCCCCTGTGCCTGCGTAGCCCTGCTGGTGACAGTGGACGAGAAGAGCGCAGAAGGAGAAGTCAGGAGAATACATTTTACCTGCAGTCCAGAGCTATGTGAGCAACTACTTTTGGAGAAGTAAATGCATCACTTGAGCAAATAATATGTCATGTACGGTTTTAGCAAAGCACCAGGAGGAAGTACAAAACACCTCTCCTAGAGAGAGCCCCTGCCAGTTCTTTGGCAGCAGCCCTGGCTGCTCCCGTGCACACCCTCCCTCCCCTGTGGAGGCCGCAGATACATCTCACTGCACCTGTCGGGAGAAACTGGGCCCCTCTTCTGAGACATTGGGGCGCCTCTGATGCTTTTCTGTACTGAAAGGTAGTAGTGCCTCTCCTGCCCCTCTGCCACTCTCTGGAAATTGAATGGTGGCTTGTCACTAACGAGGAGGCATTCTAGAGACAGGAGACAAAGAATACGAGGAACAATACCTGTGTCCCCAGTGTGTCCCAAGATTGAGACACATCAGGAACTGGCAGCAAAGTGGAGCCTTTTGTGGTCATGAAGTGGGAGCACACGATTAACTCTAGGGTTGTGAATTAAAATTTCCAATCAGTTTCAGACAGCCCACTCTGGGACAGGTCTTTCATGCAATCCTGATTCAGCACACAATCTGGATGCTCATATTTGCCATGCAGCAGCCTTCGAGCAGTTGACTTTTATGCTGTGACAGTTTGGGGAAAGGTATAACCATTTAAACTATGTATGTCACTTGTATAATGTACATTTGTGCCTGTGGGTGTATTTCCCAATTCTATGAATAGGCATTAACAAATTCTAGAAGCTTTAACAATTCATAATTATGTTATATCATGACAGTGTTACCATCTACAGCCATTGTCATTTTCCCATGGAACCTGTTACTCATATCTGTAAATACTTCTTCACGTTGCGTAGACTTCTGAAGCATTTTGTTTCTGAACGTGGTCCTTGCGAGAATTCTGGTGAAATCAAAAATCTACTGCCAGCTGCAATTTGCTAATTCTGACGGATGACTGCTTTCAGCCATTTGGTATAAAGTGACTTTGTGTGAATGGTTGCAAAGTCCAGATCATAGGGATTTTTTTTTTTTTTTTTTTTTTGGGAGTGGGAGTCTCACTCTGTTGCTCAGCCCGGAGGGCAGTGGAACGCTCACAGGCACTGCAACATCGACCTCCTGGGCTTTGGTGATCCTCCTGCCTCAACCTTCCAAGTAGCTGAAACTACAGATGCATGCTACCACACCTGGCTAATTTTTTGTTTTATTGTAGAGATGAAGTCTTGCCAAGTTGCCCAGGTTGATCTCAAACCCCTAGGCTCACTCAGGCAGTGCTCTTGCCTCTGCCTCCCAAAGTGTGGATTACAGTCGTGCACCACTGTGCCTGACTGGTCATAGGGATTAACCAGCACTTAACCGTTTGGCTTTTCACATCTGCTGAGGTTTCAGATGTTATTTAATGATTTGTGCCCCATTGAATGTTGGCATTGGCCACATTTTAATAGTCAGTGTTTTGGTGTTACAGAAACAGGCATAGTCACACACTTAGTTCAAGCATCATATGGCTCTGCAAACAGGACGTGTGCAGGACTAATGGCAGACTGGTGTGGGGGGCGTTGCTTCATGCCTGTAGATGGAAGCCAGAATCCAGGAGGGAAGGGGAGTTGGGCTGTTGTTGCCCATGAGTCTGTGCCAAGTTGAAGGTCAAATCAGGATCAAGAAATGAGAAAATCTTTATTGTGAGATGTCTGAGAAGAGAAGCTGTCGCTGGCGGTAGGGTGGCTGTTTTGTGGGTTTTTTGACTTTGCCACAGAAAACAGTTTTAGAGTGTCACAGAGAGAGTTGCAAAGTCCAGTTTACTAGAAGAAGAAGACATGCTCGAGAGACCTTGGGTGTCCTTAAGGGGGGAAAGGACACACACCCTTTCTGTTGTTAACAGAGTATTTTGTATATTTTCAAAATGATACTTAAGTGATCTATTTCGAAGCTTTTTTTTTTTAAAGCAGGATTTTTTGAGAGGACAGAAAGGCTCCCACAGTGGGAGAGGGCCCCTAAGTTTTAATCTCCAGTTTGAATTCTCATTGTTTTACTTTTAAATTAGTTTGTGTCTTGAGGAACTTTTACGATAACAGGAAGTTGCTCCTGATTAAGTTTTGTGTTAGAGGGCTGTGCCTCAGTGTCCCCAGCAACTCCCTGCCATGCTGTCCTTGGTCTTTGAAGTCACCTGCCCCATGTTCCAGATTGGGCCTGAGTTTCGGTCAGTGTGTCATTGTTCAGCAGTCATGTCCTGAGAAGACAGTGTCCAGAGGCCTGACTGTCTGGTTTCCTAATTATCTGAACCTGCCTGTGAAAAACTCAATATATCTGGAGCTGTGCTGTCTGGCCTGCTCAAAGTGGGGACCAGGGCAGACAGGCCTCGTCTTTTTACTGTAGCCGAAGTTCTTTTAGCTTCTTGTGGTGGCACAGACAAGTAATAGGTTACATGTACTATTAGGAGAAGGCTTTCATTTTACTTAATTTTTTTTATAGAGACGAGGGTTTTGCTGTGTTGCCCAGGCTGGTCTTGAACTTCTGGGCTCAAGCAGTCCTCCACCCTTGGCCTCCCAAAGTGCTGAGATTATAGGGGTGAGCCACTGTGCCCAGTCTTAAAAATGTTTTAAGTTTAATGAAACTCTGTATATATGTATTTTGGTCTTCAGAAGCTTGCCTGTTAATATTTTTAAAATAAGATACGAAGACTGTGCAGCCGCCAGAAGCTAGCAACCCTGTGTCCAGCCCTGTCTGACCTCTCCTCCTCCCTGTGCCCCTCCCCAGCTCCTGATCCTCCCTCTTGTGTGGGAGGGAGGCTCATCTGTGTGTCATTTGATGTGTCATTCAAAAGCATGGTTGTGATTTCTTGTTCTTGTACTTTGGTCACTGTGGAGGACCACTGACTTCAAACCTCCAAAAAGATGAGTTTTAGATTTAGAAACAGCATATGGGGGGCCCCAAGAAACAGGAATTATTTTTTGGAGGGCAGGCTTCTCCCTGGACACTTGCCAGGTAAGTGTTCTAGACCCCCGTTGGTGTCAGTATACCAGCTAGCATTGTTGTGAGAGGCTGCATTGTGAAGAGACATCCCGAGGTGTGGCAGGCAGCTGGCTGGTTCTTCGCCCATGACAACACAGCTGCCTACATCCCGCCGAGTGTTCGGCATGACCCCCATGCCTCACCCCCACTGTTCACCGGATCTGGCCCCAAGTGACTTTTTGTTACTGCTCATGTGTGTTCTGTGTCATAGACCTTCCAGATGCATCACTCTTTAATCTTAAGATTTCTGGACTCTGGCCCATTTCATTCACGTTTCCGAGGCAAATATAGTTACCCACCTAGCCATATGTGTACTTGCAGGGTAACTGTGTTTTCCATGTTTTTTGAGAAATAGTAAAAGAATTACAGCTAGACAAAGATCCTCATATCGTAATGCAAGCCAGTTTAGAAGGACTTGGTGTCTCAGTCAGTTGTGATTGTATAAGTGGTTTGACATTAAAATTGAGATTATAAACTGGTTTGTCAGTTCTTTAGAGTATGAAGAATGTTATGCAGATATGTCATTTCTTATTACCAGTGTTTAATAATCTGAGCAGTGACCAGCAGGGGCAGGGTATACAGTCCAGAGGCTGGCGTCCTATCGGACATTGTCACCATGGTCCTGCTTTCCTTGTCTCCGCAGTGGTTCATTCCAGGGACAGGACTCTGTGCCCGTCTTTAGGCTTGTGGTAGTTGGCTGCAGTGCTTTGGAGTGCTCATCTTCCTGATGTGCCCTTTTTGAATTTCACTGCTTGTTGCAGGGTGGCCACCATCAGCCTTCAGGTTGGTGACAACGAGTAGTTGCTTGTATGTGAGGGGAACCCAAAAAACCTGGAATTTATTTACAAAAAATCATGGATTCTTACCTGTTTAAACTTCAGGCACCTTGAGAGTACTCTCTGTTTGATGCAATACGCCTTTCAAGATGCTTTTTCCACTGTTCAAAACAGTTTTTTTTTTTTTTTTTTTTTTTCCTGCAGTGAGAGTCTCACTCTGTCATCCAGGCTGGAGTGCACTGGCATAATCAGATCACGACTGCCACAGCCTTAACCTGCTGGGCTCAGGGTGATCCTTCTGCCTCAGCCTTTCAGGTAGCTGGAACTATAGGTGTGCACCACCATGCCTAGTTAACTTTTTGATTTATTGTAGAGACGAGTCTCTCCAAGTTGCAAGGCTGGTCTCGAACCCCTGGATCCAGGCATTCCTCTCACCTCCACCTCCCAAAGTACTGGAATTACCTGTGTGAGCCACCATACCTAGCTGAAAACTTTTGAGCTTGTCCATTTTTGGTGGCTTTTAGTACTTCTGCCGTTTTTCGTTTCACCTCTTCACATCAGCAAAACCCTTCCCTTTGAGGAATTTTTTCAGCCAAGGAAACAAAGTTGCTTAGGGTGAGATCAGATGACCAGGGAGGGTGGGGCACAGGGGTCATGCTGTTTTGGGCCAAAAACTGCCGAACCCTCAGCATGACACGGGGAGGTGCGCTTATAAATCACGCATCATGAAATGGGCAAATGTGTTGAAAGAATGAAATCTCTGGGAAAAATTCACTGAAGCCAGATGCAACCTCTCACAACAATGCTAGCTGGTCCACTGATGCCGATGGGTTCCTAAAACACTGACTTGTGGGGAAAGCCTGTCCTACAAGGGGCCCACCCTCCAAAAGACAATTTTGGATTCTTTTTGTGTCCCCCCACCCTTGTATGTTCAAGGATGTCTTGTCTGTGAAGTTCTTGTTGTTTACCCTGGCCAAAGAGAAGAGCAGGTTAAGTAGAAAGAATGCGAAACATCTCTTGGCCTGAAATTTTTCAAAAATGTTTACTTATGCTGCTGCTTGAAGTTTTAAAGTTAAAAGTCCTTAGTGTGTTATGTGTTTTTGTAGAGTATCAATTACAGATAAGTCATATGCCCTCTTAGGATTTCGCCTGCCTGGTGAAGGTTGTGGTCGCCAGCGTTTCTGTTCCTGGATATGTCTTTTCCATCCTGATAGCAGTTCTGATTTCTGATTGTGGCCTGTTGCCTTTGGGTTGGCTGGCTTGAGGATCAGGCAGCCTTGCTCAGATGATTCCAAAATATGTTTGCAAACACTTAGCACAGTTCAAGTTAGAATGGAAATTCTGGCCATGCTCTAGTGAGTAGCTTCGCTCATAAAGGTGCCCTGATTTCAGTCAGACCTGAAGAGGCCTCCATTTTAGTTTTCCGTTTCTCTGTAGATGACACTACCGACTCCCCCACGTGGTGTGTGTGTTCATCAGCATGTGTGTGAAGTGCGTCCTGCCTCTGGGAGACAGTGGCTTCCTCCTGCTTCGGGTGGTGGTTGAGTGTCGACTCGCTCGCGCTGAGCAGCTGCCACAGCCAGCTGCACTCATGGGTGACGATGCCGCGGCGCAGCGTGGCGGGGCGGCACGTGGGCCAGCCACAGGGTGCGCTGCTGCTCGTGAGCGTGCACCCAGTGCCCACGGGCAGCCCTTCTCTCCTGTGCACTAACAGCCAGATTGTCATGTCCATGCCGTTTGCAACAGGGTTCTCATGTATCAGCCATCCTCTGTAAGGGTGCCCAGTGTGACTCCGGTCGACCCTGCCGCGCTCCCGCCTTCATTAACCGACTACTCAGTCCCATTCCACCACACGCCAATCTCGAGCATGCCATCCGAGTTGCCAGGTATGTGCGCAGTTCCTGCCTCCTTTTCTTTTGCCCAGTTCTGTTACTGCTTTTCAAGCCTGACCTGTGGAGGGGGTGAGTGGAGTTTCAGAATCGGAAGCAGAAGGGCTGAGGGAGTGTGAGGGTCACAGCTGCTGGGGGCCGTCATAGCCAGTGGCCGTCGCTTGAGCCCAAAACTGTCTCTGGACTCCTGATGAGGGGGCTGAGGGGCCGAGCAGGAAGGGAGCTGGGTTCATTCCCCTGGCAGGGAATTTGTGTCTGGAGACTCGATTGGCTTCTGCGTCCCCGAACCTCACAGGCGGGGAGAGGGCTTACTCCCACACTCCGAACAGCCCCCTGGAGCTTCAGAATGCTCTGTGGATGCAGTTTGAGGCTGATGCGGCTTGAGGCTGACGCGGCCTGCTGGTTTTCCCTGTGGGTAGCGTCCCTGTAAAGATGGGCCTTGCTGCCTGTTTCCCTAGAGCAGGACTGAGTGGGGGCTCGCCTTCACATGTACGACAGTCTCCCCTTATCGCGAGGGATGCCCCAAGAACCCCGGCGGTGCCCGAAGTTGGACAGCCCAGGGCCCCGTGTGCACTGTGATTTTTCCTGTGCGTGGCTGTAGTGAAGATTAGTTTATAATTTAGGTGCAGGAAGAGATGAACGGCAACAGCGATAAAGTCGAACAGCCATAGCCTTGCGCTAGTGTCACAGTTCTTGCATTTGGGGGTCGTCTCTAAGTAAAGTGAAGGTTCCTTGAGCATCAGCACGACAGTGGCATGGTAGTCCACCTAATAGTCGGGCTGGTCGCTGAGACGGCTGCTAGTGTGGCTGATGGTGAGCTGCGAGGCAGAGTCAAGGTCACGTTCCAGGTAGGACAGAGCAGGATGGAGTGGATGGCGCGAGATTTCGTTAGGCTACTCAGAGCAGCAGGACTGTCTGGTTCTGGAGTTTTCCATCCAGTATTTTCTTGCTGTGGGTAACTGAAGTCACAGGAAGTGAAACCTTGGGCAAGAGGTGACTGCTGTGCAGTAACTATCCGGAACACCCGGGGTCACCTGAGTCACTGTAGTCCCATATTAGGGCCGAGGCTGTGTTAGGAATCCACAGGCCTCGGCACCCCCTTCTTCATGGCCGTCGCTTTGCAGATGTTTCGGTCCCATCCAGACACATGAGCTCCAGTGTCTCTTCCTCCCTTCCCCTGAGGACCCACTCTCAGGGATGCAGTTCCTTCATCCTGATTGTAGCTTTCTCACCTAGATTTGTGGACTTGATTTTGACCTATGGCTTATTTTTTGTTTTTATTTCTTTGAGTTGGGGTCTCGCTCTGTCTCCCGGACTGGAGTGCCCTGGCACGCTCACGGCCACCGCAGCCGTGACCTGCTGGGTTCAGGCGCTTCTTCCGCCTCAGCTTTCCAAGTAGCTGGAACTACAGGCATGCGCCACCACACCTAGCTAATTTTTTGATTTCTTGAGACTATTGCCTGGGCTGATCTCGAACTCATGGGCTCAGGCAATCCTCTTACCTCGGCTTCCCAAAGTGCTGGGATCGTAGGCATTAGCCGTCGTACCCAGCAGTTTATTTTTCTTTATCCTCCTAGTGAGGGCTTTATTTTTAGCACAATGCTTATTCTGTGGGTACAGTTTTGTGTTTTTGAAACAACTGATAGCTGTTACGTGGCCCAGTATAATTTTGCCACTTGACATGGATTATGTGAATACAATTTAATGGAAAAGAATAGACATTTTATAGTGCCAATCTAAAAATGGTTTAATTTGGGATTTTTTTTTTTTTCTTGAGTTAGAGTCTCACTGTGTCGCCCAGACTGGAGTGCAGTGGCCATTCCCGGCCACCGCAGCCTCGACCTGCTGGGCTCTGGCAATCCTTCCGCCTCAGCCTTCCAAGTAGCTGGAACTACAGGCGCACACTACCACGCCCGGCTAATTTTTTGATTTATTATAGAGATGAGGTCTTGCCAAGTTGCCCAGGCGGGTCTCGAACTCGCGGCCTCAGGCAATCCACTCACCTCAGCCTCCCAAGGCGCGGGATTACAGGCTGAGCCACTGAGCCCGGCTGGGATTTTTTTTTTTTTTTGAGTCAGAGTCTGTTGTGTAGGCAGTGTGGCTTGATTACGGCCACTACAACCTCAACCTAGGCTCAGGCGATCTTCCTGCCTTGGCCTCCCCAGTAGCTGGGACTATAGGTGTGTACCATCACTCCCGGCTAATTTTTTGATTTATTAATTTATTGTAGCTAACCCCTGGGCTTGGGCAATCCTCTTGCCTCCACCTCCCAGAGTGCTGGGATTATAGGTGTGAGCCATTGTGCCCAGTGAAATTGGTATTTTTTTAAGCACCAGCTATGAAATATTGGTTCAATACAAAGCCTGGTGCTCGGGTACAGGCAAAATTTCATGGCCCATGACGAAGATGGAAGCTGAGAGCTTCTGCAGTCCTAACTTACGTGGGTTGATTTCACCGTGGTGGGTTGGACCAGTTCCCCGTGTCATCTCAGTGTGAATTGCAGACAGGCATTCCCAAGGGATCTATTTCCTCGGGGCCTTGAATAAAGACTAATTCTGAAAAAAGACAGCGACTGTGCCACTCAGTGGCAGCGCAGGCACAACTCACGTGCCCAGCTTGGGTTTCAAATGAAGTGACTCTGAATGGATTTTTAGTTTGGAAGAATTTATGTCATTTCCAAATGGGGACATAAAGTGAGACTCGATTGCTCTTAAAATGTGCAGGTTTAAGGAAAATGCAGTGAAGTTTGTCTGAACTGTGTATTTGGTGAAATGCAATTCAAGCTGGTAGTGAGAAAATCAGAATAGTATTCAGGGCTGATATTTAGCCAGTATTGTCCACTATGGGGACCTTGGTTGTTAATGTGGAAAAGCTTTTATATCCGATGGTACATCTCACAATAGCATAATAGACTTTATCGTGCTTTAGAAGAATTGCTGATTTATCATCAACTACATGCAAGTTATATAGCAGTTGCTACATCTAAATAGTTTTTACTTTGGCTTTATTGTTAATGTGTTCTTTTGTAATCAGAAACTGCTTTGATTTTATTTTTGTGCATAATTTTTATGTAATTGATCATATTGTATAGAGTTTTGATATTGATACATTTAATAGTTTATAATAAAACATTAACTAGAACACCAAGAATGAAGAGCTAACAAGTTTTAATACATTTCTTAACATTCCTTTTAAATATCATGAACATGAATCTTCTGAATCTGCAGGGGAACAAAGAAGAAATGATATTAATAATGAACTGCAGCTTGGAACATCTTCTGATACTGTGCAGCAGTGAATCCAAAATAAAACAAACAGTTTGTACTTACGGAATGGAAAACAGCTTGATTATTTCAAGAAAAAAATACGACGACCTTATTACTGCTAGTGCCCTATTGTTAGGTGCGAATGGTGCTCTGAAGTTGTATCATTAAAATTGGAAAGTGCTAACATTTGCATATTTAGTTTGTAGCAGTTCTGTTTTGTTAAAGCCTATGGCCAAGTGAGGAAAATGTTTTGTCATCAATGAGGAAGAAACTAACCAGTCAGTTTCACAGAATGAAGGGTTTAAAGTTTAAAAGTTACAGTTTTAATCAGTGTTAATGAAACAAAAGTATTAAGGATGTACCATCACAGTTTTTGACACTACTTGCTTTTTAGTTAAAAATAATGGTGCATTTTCAACCATGGTGTAATTAGCAGGGCATAAAGAAAATAGCATGTTGTTAAACTTACAAAACACAGCAGTAAAATTTTAAACTTCATCAGTTTCATACAAAGCTTTTAATATTCTACTTACGGCCGGGCTTGGTGGCTCAGCCTGTAATCTCGCACCTTTGGGAGGCTGAGGTGAGTGAATTGCCTGACCCCGTGGGTTCGACACCCTCCTGGGCAACTTGGCAAGACCTCATCTCTACAATAAATCAAAAATAAGCCAGGCGTGGTAGCGCGCGCCTCTGGTTCCAGCTACTTGAAGGCTGAGGCAGAAGGATGGCTGGAGCCCAGCAGGTCGAAGCTGCGGTGGCCGGGAGCGTGCCACTGCACTCCAGTCTGGGCGACAAAGTGAGACTCCAACTCAAAATAATAATAATAATAATATTCTACTTATGTAGAATGCAAGAAGACTTTAGTAGTTGAGGTTTTTATTAGAAAGAATAGCATCTGAAGTACTATCAAACTTTACTGTTATGTTTGAGAAAAACTGGTTTCTGTAAGAGATATTTACATTAAAACCTTGTTGGATTTTACACACAACACCCATGTAATGCTTGAAAGACATTCCAGAGTTCCAGCCACAATTTCAGAGCATTTTCTAGGTACACTTCGTAAGGTGTGTTGTGCAGGTCACTGTATCTATCACCTGTGGATGAGATACAAAGAGATAAAGACCAAGTAAATCTCTTTAAGTGTTTTCTAAATAGGTTTTGCATGTGTTAGCACACACAGAATCAGTAGCACATTAGAGTGCGTTTGAACAACAGGAAGTGAAATAACGAAAATAGGAACTGTCTCTGGACCTCCGTGGGCCTTCTCTAGTGGCAGAGCTGCAGAAACAGCTAGAAAGTGATGTCAGGCCTGTGTGTCCCTAGTGATCGAGGTCCCAAGTGGGGGTTGCTGGGCATTTCGAAAATGACCATGTTCAAGTAAGCTGACTTCAGGATACAGTGTCCAACAGAGACATCCATACTTTGGCTTTTAAAAACGTTGCAGTTCCTAAAACAGACCGAGTGAGACAACAAACATTAAGAGTGAATGAACATACGGAACTGGAAAACTATAGAATGGAAGGAAAATGTTGAAGCAAAGTAAAATGAAGTTCATGACGTAAAGTCAGTTCATTAAGCAATGCTCCCAGTCAGCTTTATTTGATGTAGTCAATAATTGAAACCATCTGTACAGTTCTCAGAAGGTATTGCAAGGCCAGACAGATTCTGAATGCTGCCGAGCTGAAGCAGAGAGAATTCCCTGAACAGTGTCGGTAGTGTGAAGAGAAGTTTTGTGCTTCTTGGGCACCTCGCGGTCATTTTAACGGGAAAGTCCATGGAGAAGTGTGTCGAGGCTCTCTCCCCCAAGTGCCATCTAGCTGGTGGTGGACATAGGGAACGAGAAACTGTAGTGACAGTTTTAAAAATGCCCTGGAAATCATGCAGGTGATTCCTTTCAAGTGGTTGGTGCTACAGTTTGTGTCTCTTGATAAGCAGTTGGCAGCACCCTTCTCTAGAGATTGTGAGGGGCAAATAAATTTTCAGTTTTTGAGTTACACATTACTCACCCTGGTTATTAGATATTTAAGTGTCCCCACTAATATTCTCTGTTTTGAGTAAAAGTACAATATCAGACTTTCACTCTGTGCAGTGTTTATATCGGGTGACATTGAATGCCAGCATAAAAATTCACAAAATTGAATAGAAATAGGCTTGTCTAAATGACCTATAGCTGGTGTGTGGTTTCTTTTTCCATGTCTGGAAATAATTGGAAAGAGTTTAGACACCCAGGGAGGTCTAGAGGGCCTCGCTTTGAAGTTTATTGCAAGACTTTTCACTCTTGAAGTTTTTAAATTTATCGCTAGTACTTCCAAGTGATTTTGTTGGGCAGCCTTTTCCATACCTATTCTAAACGCAGTTGGAGAACGCCATTCTTTGCTGTAGCTTAGAATCCAGGGCGCGGTGGTCAGCGGATGCTTACTGCGTGCAGAGCCTGGAGGGTGCTGCCCTCGTTGTGGGCACAGGGGGCGGGCAGTGTGGCCACTGACACAGAAGTCGGTTTAAGAGCTGGTACATAGCGGAGCCTCCATGTGGTGGAGTTGTAAAAAAGTGAATGCAGAGTGTCTTAAGAGCCTGGGTTTGTTTGTTTATTTTTTGATGGTAGGAATCCAGATTACTGTCTTCATTTTATTAACCCTCATTCTGTTAAGTGTTTTGGGCTAGGCTTACTTCTCTGGAAATGTTTGGACTGCTGCCTTTGAGTGGCTGGGAGGTGGTTTTTACCGTTTTGCCAGGGAGTGTGTCCATTTCTGGGTTGTGCACACATTAAATGTCACCAATCACGGTCTAGAACTTCCCCGTGGCAGAATGGTAAGCACTTACCCCAAATGTTTTGTGACTTGTGATAAAACAAAAATGGTTTTGTTTTTTATTTTTGTTTTTTAATTCTGGTCTCCAAATTACGAGACGACTATTAACAGAGCATTTTTGTTTTAGGTTTGGATTTTCTTTCCCTTATTCCAGTTGATCCCCAGGTATGTATCCTGAATTTAAGCAACTAATTTGTATTGGCTGTTAGTTATGTCATACTAACTGAAGATGACCAGTTGCATAAAATCAGGACAGTCAACTCTCAGTTACTTACATTGATGGAAGAGGAAGTACTGTATAAATACTTCACAGTTTTATTTGGAGGAATAAAGTTGTTTTCAATTTATGATATTTTGTTCTTAATATGCACAACATATGTCTTACTTGACTTACTCAGTTGGCATCTTTTGCAAGCATTTGCATGACCAAAACTAGTACTACGTGGCTGGAAGTTAAAATTTTACAGACAGTATGTTTTTTTAGGTAAAATATTGAGTGTATATGTAGAAAATCAACTACAGCTGACGGAGTGGACCTGACTCATGGGCTTACCCGTTGTTTTTAAAGACAGTCAGATTTAGATTCGGGGCTCCCCCTCCCCCCTGGTTTACAGTTGCTGTGCCAGCCATTCCTGTTTTCTCTAAGATGAGAGAGAGATTTGGGAGAAGGTGCTGAGAGGAAGAGGCAGGCAGAGCCTGCTCCCAGCTGCTCAAGAGTGGCTGAGCGCGTCTCCGGCCTTCTGGGCCGAGTCTGATCACTCCGCGGCCCACAGCAGTGTGCAGACCCGCGTCGGTCTTGCGGCACCCATGGATGTAGCAAAAGTAGCTATGAGTTTTCTAGGACATGGATTCTTCAGGATTAAGGGATGACTGATTCTTGAGTGCCTCACCCTTTTTAAGAAACCATCTCAGAGCCCCGAGGTTTTCACTTCGCATCCCTGTTGGGCCGGCATGGTGGCTGCATGCTTGTTTGATAAGCACGGCCTTGTCCCGCTTGCCGTCAGTGCCCATGAGACCCTCGGGTGCTGTCTGCCTCCCTGTGGCCCTTCATCCCTGTCCCTGCGCGTACCCAAGGACCACAGGGCAGGAAGGCATGGGCCTGCGCCTGAGCTGTAAGAGGTGATGGCCAGAGCCTGCTGGAGGCAGGACTGTAGCCCTCTGGTCATTAGTGGCATCAGGAACATGCATCTCCTTCCCTGTGGCAATTAAAAACCACAGGAGAGGTAGCGGGAATGAAGCGTAAGGTCTGGGCGGCTGTCTGGATTTACCCGTGTGGGTGGGGGTCCAAAGTTGGGGTTTTTTTTTTTTTTTGGTTTTTTTTTTTTGAGTTGGGAGTCTCACTCTGTCTCCCAGACTGGAGTGCAGTGGCCGCTCCCGGCCACCGCAGCCTCGACCTGCTGGGCTCCGGCGATCCTTCCCCCTCAGCCTTCCAAGTAGCTGGAACTACAGGCGCGTGCTACCATGTCCGGCTAATTTTTTGATTTTTATTGTAGAGATGAGGTCTTGCCAAGTTACCCAGGCGGGTCTCAAACCCGTGGGCTCAGGCAGTCCACTCACCTTGGCCTCCCAAGGCGCGGGATTACAGGCTGAGCCACCGAGCCCAGCGCCAAAGTTGGTTTGATGTTGCGGAAGAAGGTCAATACCTGGCGACTCTGCTGTCTCCGGGCTTCTGGAGGCCCCTCGAGAGCTCTTCCTTCCCCGCAGCGCCCCTGGACTTTCTCTGGGGTTCATGCCTGTCTTCTTGGTGAGCCAAGACGGTTTTCTGTCCAGAACACGACATCCCTGACTTGGAGGGCAGCCTGATTTTTAGCCTTTGCTGTGCCTCTGCCTGGCAGATTAAGCCCAGGCTGCTGTTCCCTTGTGGTTTACGGGCCTGGAATGTCATGGGGTCTAAATAACCTCAGTTTTTGAGCCTTGTTTTGTGGCTCAGTGGACGATAGGCTGGCTGATAGAGTATATACTACGAATCAGATCTCCTTACTGGTCTCTCACTCAGCTGGACTGCTGACACACATAGGCCACCTCCTCTTGCAGTGTGTGTGATGCCTCTTCTTGTGCTGAGTCCATGTCATGCCCTGAGAGGAGCAAAGCTGCAACTCTTGGCTCTCAACTCTCCTTCCCTGGGTCAGTAGTAGAGTGTTGCATCCAGGTTGTGCTTTCTGGGGCGTCGGTACTCAGGATTGGATGGGGACTTTAAGGGACAGGGTCAGGCAGACATCACCAGGAAGGCTGGGCCCCCTTTCAGGCTTATTCTGCAGTGTTCCGATGACATAAGATGACTTTCTGTCCAGAACGTCTCCTGTAGTTAGTGACCGTGCAGCCTCTGTTTTAGAATGAGCGCTGTCATTCAGTTACACAGGTATTGTTTGTGTGTGTGTTCAGAGGGTCCAGCGCCATTATCCAGCTGGTCAGTCCTGATGTTCTTAAAGGAGCTGTTGGATACTCAGCTGTTGAGGATCAGCTGTTGGGAGCATGTTTCCTGATACCATTTGAAATAATGGTTGGTTAGCCTTCTACAGTGTGGTTTAATTCACAGCTAGATACACTTAGTGAGTGAGTTCCTTCTGAGATGAAGTGTGAGTTGTGATTGTGGTTCAGTGTTTAATAGCAAACGACTTCAGTTACTGTTGACATGATGTGCGCTTCTGCCTGTGTGTGCATGGTCAACAGAGAGATTCCCCAGGTTTTGAGAGAGGCATGAGAATGCCAGGTTCTCCAAGTAGTGTCTGATGGCTGAGTCCATCTGCCCTCCACGTGGGGATGGGCGGTGTCGCTCGCGCGTCTAACAGTCTCTAGTCTCTGTTTGAAGTCCTGTAGCTCTTCCTCATCGGCATCGTTGTTTGTTTCAAGCAGTACTGTCCTCCTATGTTTTTGGATAGTCTCACCTCACCCTTAACCGCAAGCAGTACGTCTGTCACCACCACCAGCCCCCATGAGAGCAGCCCTCACGTCGCCTCGTCCAGCAGCAGGAGTGACCCCGGGGTCATCACCAGCAGCAGCGGCAGCATTCCTGATGTCATCTCGCTGGACTGAGGAGGGCTTGCTAGGTTCTGGGAGGCGCCCGTCAGAACTGCTCACCCTCGGCTCTCTGGGCTGTGGACACGACTTTTTGGCAAGTACTTTACTATTTATTGCGAGCCGAGTGGATTCTTCTGCTTCCTGAGAGAGGTGCACAGATGGCGCGAGGAGCAGCGCAGACGCGGTCAGCATCGCCGCGGCTTCCCCTGAGGTGGAGCTCACTGTCCCTTGAGGGATGGAGTCTGCAGGTCAGTTCGCCTGTTCTGGTTGCGATAAACAGCAATAAAAATTATGTAAATACGCAAGCAAACTTTTTTCTAATGGGAAAGAAAGTTGTAATCACTGATTCTAGAATGACAGCGACTTCGGTTGCCCTGATGTGAAGGAAGAACCCACGCAAGGACTTGTGTGACTGGAGAGCCCTCTCCGTGGAGACCCCCTGTTTCGTTGAAGTGATGACGCCTCTGCGGGCGGCGAGCCTGGGCTCCACTTCTCCCTGCGGGGCTGCTTCTCTCTGCGGTCGCCGTGATCCCACCAAGGCATGCCCGCCTGGGCACCCTTCATCCTGGCCTTGGTTGCGAGGAGCGTGGGCTGCGGTGCTGGGCCCCTGTTCTTCACGGTGACGTGCAGGATGTCGTGCAGATCCTGCTCTGACTTCATGTGTCTGGTTTTGGTGCCTGTACCTCCTTCTTTCTAGACATTTTTGTAAACTTGGGACTCACCTTCCCAAGAAGTCCCCTGCAGCCGCTGAAGGAGGTGTTCTGGGGTGTGGCGTGACCAAGTTGGTTGTCAGCTCTATTCACACCTGTCACGTGTCAGTAGTGTGGAGGCAGCTTACAGGTTGTGGGAGGTGGGATAGCAGAGGTTAATTTCTTCCTAAGAAGTTAATTTTCTCCTTTATTTTATAGAACAGTACACAAGTATTTGTTGAAACTGTTCATATTCTAGTAGCAATGACGTACAAAATGTTTCAGATCTCTGATCATATTTCTTATCGATGTAATTTCAGTCTCAGTGATTTTCAGATTTAAGGAAAAAACACAATAGCAAGGGATGGGGGATCCTCAGATTTCTTTCTCCCTTTTTAAAAAAGAAAATCTTTCCCGAAATCACAAAAGATCCAGGAGAATTAGAAATGTTTTGATTAATGTGAGGAAGGGCTGGGAGGACGGGCCTGAGCCCCTCCCTATCTCACCCAGGGAGCCCGAGGCAGCACTCGGCACACTCTGGAAACCTGTCTCGGTGTGTTGGGTTTTAGATCATGCAGGAAACTGAATTTTATTCTTAGAGAAACATTTTCGTCTAGCTTTTGTCATTGATGTCATTCAGCTTCCAGAGTCATTTCTCAGTTCACAAGGATGTAGTGCTTTCCTGATGTTTAGTTCTCTCTCCCCAAGCTGTGTCCACTTTAAGAGAAAGTCCCTTTCTAAAGGCCACTCGAACCACTTTCTCAAACGGAAGTGCCCCAGGAGGACCCCGCCATTTCCGTTAGCATGGCCACATGCTGCCATGCTGCTGTAGGGTGCCTGCCACCCCAGGGAGCAACTATCCTTGCCGGGTTCTGTACTCTCCTCCTGGTGGTCCATGATGTCATCTCATAGGTTTCCGTGGCTCCTCCTGTGGTGACACCACCCTGACTCGGTGTCTCATCCTTCTGTGGGGCTGCTCACACTTAGGGCTTTGGGGCAAACAGACCGAGCAGCCTGTAGCAGTTGTTGCGACACATTTGCCAGCTTGCCTGCCAGGTCTCCAAGCTCTGCTGCAGCTTTCTGGGCCAGATAGGGAGTTTCTTGGTGAGATTTTATGTTGCTGCTCTACATACAGATGGGATTTCTATTGACTGTAATCAGCAAAAGTAACTTGATTTGTGTGGTATAATTTGTGAATAAAGAAATGATGTGTATTGGTTATTATTTGTTACCATGTAGAGCCTCAGAGACTCTTCCCCAGTTTATCAGCAAAGTTTTATAAGGTAAATGAAAATACTCATATGAATTAGTTTATTTCCTTGGTCCTTGTAACCAATACCTCTGTGCTTTTGTAGTTGTGATTTGTTTATTTTTTACTATCTTCTATGAACAGTTGTAATGTACAGCCTTGGTGTTTTACACCGAAATGACATATACACTTTTAATTTATCTCAAACAGGCGACTTGCATTTAAAAAACACACTGGCAAGTTGGTCGTCTTAAAATGGGGGCTCAGGCTGTGAGTGTGTGCATGGGCGAGTGCTGTTTCGTGCCGCCAGCCTTGTCCAGACACTACCATTCCTACCGAGGCCCAGCCCTTTCAGCCGTTTGGCTGGCTGCCCCACCGCTGCCGCCCGAGGGCGGGGACTGACCTGACAGGGTGTCCTGGCTGCTCAGGTTCTGCTGGTGGCCGGGCGCCCTGGTGTGTCTTCTGAGGAAGGCGTGGCACTGGGTGGCTCTGGCGGGCGTGTGGCCCACCCGTGCTTTCCCTCTTCCCTTGAAAGTGCCAGAGCTTCTTTCTGGAGGCGCCTGAGTGTCATCGATGCTGAACATAGCTTCTTGCCCAAGGTCTCCCGCCCGCCCTCCTTCCCTCCCTCCCTCCCTCTCTCTCTCCCTGAGCCTCAAGTGAACCCCTTCGGGGCGGTATGTCCATTTCTGGCCAGAAATTACAAAGGTGAAGCGGCCGAGGTGGTTCTGGGATATCTCACGGTCCCAGGAGAGCTGGCACGAAGGCATGATGCACAGGGAGGGACCATGAGTGTCCCCGCCTGTGGCTCTCGGCTTGAGGCACATTTCTTGGGGCAGCCCTCAGGAGCTGGGAGGCAGGTGCTGATGGAGGCTGTCCTGACTTGGGTGCACCAGGTGTGGTCTTTTCCCCTGCCAATACAGTCTCCATTAGTTGACACTTGCATTTTAGGTAAAGTCAGTTTGTTGTAAATGGCTTTAAAAAGGTTTTTAAAACATTAATTGAATTCACAGGTTTGCCTTCCTTTCTAGCCTCCAGTGGGTAAGAAGCGCTTCACAGCCTGTCTTTTCTTGGGTAAACGCTTGTATTTCCTGATTGTTTTTCTGCAAGATTTCCTCCATGTGTGTGGAATGCCATGATGGCATCCCCGTTTGTTGCCACTCCCTCTGTCTCAAGCTGCAGCGCACAGCACCCTTAGCCTTGTCTGGCGCAGGTGGTGGGCTGTGGGGGCAGGCCACATTGTCATTTAGCTGGTGACGGCGGGTCCCCCACGCACTACTGCAGTTCAGGCACATGGTGAAGTTTGTGGAAGAGAGTGTCAGCCTTTCTCTGCTTTTTAAGAGTATCATTCCTGTCAGACAATGACTGGCTTGTAATTCTCCTCCTTTTTTGTTAGGAACAATGCTGCAATTTCTAAGAGAAACAAATAAAGCTATATGAAACGACCCGTTCTTCTCCAGTGCTTGCCTGGTTGGGGTTGGGGTTTTGGTTTTGCTTTTCCCGCTTATGTGAGTGTTTGTGCTTATTGTGGGAAATCTAGACAGTGCAGAAAATTATAAAGGAAAATGACGGTTGCCTGGAATCATCACCAGAAGAATATCGCTGAAATGTTTTTGCTATTACTTTCCAGTCTCAGGTCCGTCGTGCTGGTTTCCCCCCCCCGGCGTGCAGGCCTTGTTCCATGTCACTCACAGTGCGAGTGTGCGGCGGTTCTGGTAGCCTTTCCCCTTGGGCGGTGTAAGTGACCTCTCATGCCTCAGGACGTATCCTTGGGCATAAAGTATTTCCTGGGATACGTTCCTAGAGGGGACTCCAGGTCAGGGCGTGAGCTCCTGCTTTGCGTCACCTTCCCAGGTGACGAGTGAATGCCATTCACACTCTAGCCGGCAAGTGTGGGAAGAGGCTCTGGGCATCTTTCCCAGCACACGCACATCTGTGTGCAGCATCTGCCCAGCACCCTTCTCCCGGGGCTCTGGTGAGCTGGGCTGCCCAACCCAGCGGTGACTGGCGGAAGTCTTCCCAGGTGTGCTTACTTTTCTAAAACTTTTTAAATTATTTTTTTAGATTGCAAAATATAGTTTACTTAGAAAGTTGATTAGAGAGCAAAGCGATTCACCTCTCCAAGACAGGGGAGGTGGCCAAAGCTAGGAATCATGGTGTCCATAGATCCAAGGGCTGCATGACCTGACCACTGTTTAACAAAGCAATGGCCTGCGCTTGCTTTTAAATGATCTGTCTGACATCTTCCAGAAACACCTGCCTGCAGATGTCCGGCTTTTTTACATGGTTTCACTCGCACCATAAAGTAGAACACGTGTTTGTTGTCAAGATACGTTTCCCTCTTTTAGTTAAAAAGTCGTGTTCCTTTTTTTTTTCTTTAACCCTTTGGGCCCAGGCCAGCCCTGAGTAGCCAGCTCTCTGTTCCTCTTCCTGTTGGCCTTTCTGGACTCCCCAAAGCCATGGGGTCTGGTGGGTCAAAGGCATCCAGCCCCAACCGGAGAACCAGGAAGGCCAGAACAGCAAAGCGGGAGGCCCTGCCCGCCTTCGCGCTGTGTCCTTTGTGCTTCCCGTCAGGCCTTACTCTTGGTGTTGTGTGGGGAGGAGGGGGAGACTGCAGTCCTCAGCCATCCCGGGCTGACGCTTTCTTGATGGGCACAGCACAGTCATTATTTCCCAAGCTGTTGCTTGTGTCTGAACGGCTTTTGGTTTTTTAAGCTTCCTTTGTGTTCTTGAAACTTAACTCTTTTAAGTGAGAAAGAGTGTTGCCTTGTTATAAAATAGAATGTGCTTCTTAGTTTGGCATTCAAACTACTCAGCAAATGTTTAGTATGTGTCGTAAGCATATGTGGGACAGACTGTCAGAAAAGAGTTGGTCGCAGATTTCTAAGGGCCTATAATCAAGTTTCCAACAAGAATCTGTCTAGTAACAGGCATAGTGCTAAGGATTTTCCCAGAACGTCTCATTCTGGCAACAGCCCTTCAGAGGAAAGTGCTGTCACCTCCATTTTGCAGATGGAACGGGTTTAGGTAAGTTTCCCAGGGTCACGGTAGGTAAACTTGGAGTCTGGCCTAAACTGACCTCAGAAGCCCTCTGGCTAAACTGGCGTGACACTAGTGGGCTGTGCTGTCTAGGAGACCAGCATGGGAGTCTGAACTTGGGGACGAGACTGCTTCCAGGTGACGACTGCAGTCCTGAGGCAGGAGCCAACACTGGAGCTGTGTCCTGGGACGACTCAAGACTTGGGGGCTGAACCCGTTCCTCGGGCCTAGGTGGTGTAGGTGATGCTGGCACTTGCCACTCGGTGGAGACAGTGACGGGCGAGGGACTGCTGGCGACAAGTGGCTCAGCCTGGGTCTGGCAGTCTCCAGGGCAGCCTCCCTGTCCTCCGCTTGCTCCCCGTCGCCCACCCACTGAGCTTTCCAGCTGAACCGCTCTTGGGTTCCCGCAGCCTGGGACGAGCCCCCCACCCCCTCAGTCACCTCTCAACCCTGTGACCTGGCAATATGGGCCTCCTCGGTCTGTTCTCCACAGCCATAGCTTGGGTTGCAGACGCTCCCTCCCCACCTCATCCTTCAGAAGGTGACTGTGCTTCCCAGTTGTGTCAGAAGGCCGTCACCAACACAACTCCTCCCGCCTGTCTCCCTCCGTCTCTCCTTCAGTCCCAGAGTGAGACCGGCCATCAAGGCCAGCTCAGCCGTTTTGTCTCTTCAGGATGTCCCTCCAGCGGCCTCCGCCTCCTGCCTCCCTGCCTTCCGCCTCGACTTCTTGTGGCTTACGGGTGACCTCAGGTTTCCAGTCTCAGCACCCACATGTGCCAGGTGTCATGCTGGCCCTGGGGACACAGGACGTAGACTTACCCTGCCCCTCCACAGTGGAGCTCTGATGGCACAAGCAGGAGGGGCATCGAGGTGACAACCTCAAGGTGAGGCACTGCGAGCGCGTGTCACGAGACCCCTAGCGCTGACTTGGTGCAGGAAGCACACGTGGGAACATGAGGGGCGAGGGAGCACTTATCACAGAAGCAGGGGGAGGCTGAGGAGTATCGGGAGACACGTGCAGAGATCAATCCTGAAGGGCTCGCAAAGCCGTGGGGAGGCGTCGGAGAACTTTCTTTGTCGCTAGTGGTGGCGAGGGTTTGGTGGGCTTGATATGACGATCCCCACTTGACACATGTGGAAGCAGGTTCTGGGAGGGTAAGTGAATTGCCCCAGGTCAGGCAGCCTGTCAGTGAGAAATCAGGCTTCAGATCCGGCTCTTAACACTTTCTCAGAGGCCCTTCCTTGATACTTCTGTCATTTTTCAAAGTATGTTTTTATTTGTTGGAGACAGGGACTCTGTGTTGCCCAGGCCGGCCTCAGACTCCTGGCCTCAAGGGGTCCCCTCGCCTTGGCCTGCCAGAATACTCAGAGCACAGGCGTGAGCCTCCACACCCAGCCTCTGGATCCTCCTCCTGAAGAACAGATGTTTGATGACCGTCATCCTGTGTCCCATCACCTTGCTTACATGCAGCGTGGCCTTATCACAAGCTGTGATGGTTTTTTGGTTCACTCCCCGGACGTTGTCTGTCTCCCCTGCTGGATTGTAAGCCCCGTGAGGTCGGGGGGCACCCTGTGTCACAGTGTGAGCTCAGTCAGCATTCATGGGTGAAGCCGTGGCTGGTAGCCATCTGTACCTGAGGACGCTGGCTGGGCGGTGTGGTGAGCGGCAGGCCTGCACCAAGAGGAGGGAGGGCTAGAGGGGGTGCACGTGTTGGAGGAGCACACTGGCCCTGATGCAGAAAGCCTCGGGGTGATGAGGGTCAGAGGTGGGGGTGGCAGCACAGGGCACAGCGGGGCAGGAGGGTGTGAATGGCATTAGACCTGCCAGTCAGGGACCCGTGGGCCCAGTCGGCCACATGCACAAGGCTAGAGAGCATGTGCAAGGACACTCAGATGGTGTGCTGGGACGACTTCACCAGGTCACGTCCACCACCTG